TATAGCCATATGCGTGCGATTGGGGCGCGCGCGCTTCCTTCGAGGCGCTCCAAGCCCGACCCATACTGAATTCACTAATTCCTCCAAGCTGTGTAAACACTCTGTCCTCTGTTCCCCCTCCTATACAACTGCCTCAGACCAGAGGGGCAGTGGATCCAAGTCCAACTTCGACGTTCCAAAATGCGCCGGCAGCGCGCTGCCCAAATCCTCTGGATACTTCGCCCATTGTCTGCATCACCATGACCTGCGTATCCGCGGGGCCGTCGAGCAGCGCGGCGCCCTCCATCTCCTGAACACCCCCTCGTTGGCAAAGCGCCATGTTGCGCCGTCTGCCCCTACCCGGCTCATTCTGCCTCCTGTCACCCATGTCAGAAAGCATGCCGCCGTGCTGTCTAGTGCCCTCAGGTGACGTTCTTCCAGCACAATTGCCGTCAACTCGCTGAAGCCCGCCCCCGCAATCTACGCCTGGAACATATCCTTCTGTATCTTGTCTGTAGTAGATATAGACCAGAAGCGCCCGCGCTGCCTCAAGGCCAGCTGCGTGGCTTCGCGCCCCCCCCTTATCTCTCCTGCGCGCCCTTGACCCCTTAGTAGGTGCGGCCCCGATGCTCTCATCTCCCTCGTCGGCGCGCCCTTGATCCGCTTCTCTCTCTGCAGCTGCCTTGTGGCCCCATGTCGCCCTGGCCCCCGCAGAGCCGCCAGGTGATTGGTCTTGGCTGGGTTCAGGCTCCATCCACCTTTTTCCAGCTCGCTGTCCAAGCGCTGAGTGGTGGCGTCGATCTGCCCCGCGATTCCTGTCGCGCGGGCTCTTGGGCGAACCGAAATGACCTCGCCAAACTCCACCTGGTGTTCTGAAATTATCTCGCTAACTCCAGGTGCCAGAAAGACCAGGCCCGACGCGACCGCCGCGTGGGTCTTGGAGAGCTCGCGTTCCTGCTGGTTGACGGGGCCCACTGTATCATGCCATGTCTACATCTCGTCCCGCTCTCATTCTTCCTGGCGCCGCTGCCCCACGCGCAGGCAAGTGCCGTTGAACTGCCTCGGGCACGCGATAAATCCCATACGCGCCCCTCTCGTAGTCCCTGCGCGCAGCTAATTGTCTGCGCTTTCCACCATCATCGACGCGCAGCGCAGCACCTCGACCGCGAAAAGACAATCCTCCTCTTTTGACGTGGCGAAGAGAGATGCCCATAGTAGGCTGCGCTTCGAACTTGCGAACGCATTCGGGCCGTCGTAGTTGCTTGTGATGGCGCTCGCTCCTGCTTGTCTTGCTCTCCTGTGCGTAGCTTCAACGCAAGTAATCGCATTCTCCCTCGATCTGTTCCAGGGCCCCCCCCCTGCGTCCAGCATGGGCGCTCCGGCGCTCGCCCTCTGCGATGGATGCCTCCGTGAAAAGAAATCCCATTGAGCAGTGAGCACGCGCAACTGTTCTTCCTCCTATTCGTTTCTGTTGGTTGCCCTGTTCCGCTGAAAATGAAAGAGATATGCGCCAATCCAGCGCGGTAGCTTGCGATCGGCGACACTGGGTAAGGATGTCCTCCAGCTTGCTCCTGCAACCCATGCTTGCTTCTGTCTCCAATGCCCAAGATCCCAGTCCAGCCTGCTTGTATCTCCCCAGGGTGTGCGCTGTTCCCCTTGTCGCCGTCAATCCTTCGCCGTCATCCATGCTGTCTTCGCTGCCCAACGCCCTGCCTGATATCCAACCCATCATCTGTAGTATATAGACCTTCCCACTCTGCATATGTGAAGCGCGCCGTGCATGTCCAAGTTTCCCTCGTCATCGCGCTTCTCCGCCGCTCGTGCTCTTTGCTCCCCGAGCTTCGCGCTCAGCTGCTCAGGGTCCTCCAGGAAGATTAGGGTTTCCAGTATAAGCCATTCCTCCGTGTTCCACCAGGTCCGCGCTGACATAATACTGTTCCCCCGCCATTCCTCTGATACTCCACCCTGAGCCTGTGCATCTCGCTGGAGTTGTTGTTCTCGTACGCTGTCCCGATTCCCTCTGCTAGGTTATTCGTCCTTGCCTGTTCTCGTCCCGCCCTGCGTTTACGTAGCGCATATTGTGTATATGCGCCAGCTCCTGCTTGATCTCCTCCAATCTCTCCTGCGTATCAGAGTCTACCATGTCCACTCGCAGCGTCGTCCTTTTCAGCTAGTAGAGAGTGCAGTAGTGACAAGAATGTGGCCACCCCCTTTTTGTTCCTGTTTCTTCCTGATCGGGAACACGTTGTTCATAGCATTCCTGCCCGCCTCGCTTCACCTTTTCCGCATATGATCTGCTGCAGGGCGCTCCTGCAGCTCACTCCAGTCTTCGTCGGCCGCGAACCCCCCATGAGTTGCACTCCGGGAAAAACTCGTTCATGCTTCTTCTGGGGGGGGGGTCGGCAAGATCCTCTGGTGTTGCACTCCGGGGAAACCTCGTTAAATCTTCATCTGGAGGCCCCGCCACTCCGAGAAAACCTCGCTCGTGCTCCTCTTGGCTGTTGTGACTGGGCTGTCAGTAGGTGGCGGTCGAACGCGCACGAGAATTCTGTCCTCAGCCGATCTTTCCTGAAGCACTCCATCCGCATGTTGTGGTCCGCCTCTTTGTCTGCTCTTTGCTGCCTGCGCTTGCCAGGGAAATGAGATCCATGCTCTACTCCGATATCCAAGGCCATGGGAGTGGTCTCTGCGACCTCTCGCTTTACTATTCAACAGTTTCTTCGCCACTCCTCTCAATGCTGCGCACCTCCGCACATGGGGTAATGCCCGCGTCGGATCCATGTTCCCTCCTTTGCCCCGAACTGCAATGCCGTATGCTACTTGTGGCTCGTCTTCTTCATCGGCACTGGCCCAGCCCATTGGTGAGACCCTGTCAGTACAATCGCATCCCATTCACGTAGGTCACTGCTTATCTCTTCCAATCTGCCCGTGGTATTCGCCGCAAGAGGGTTGTATACTATCAGTCTCGTCAGTGCCCATGACAAAAGCACTGCGCTCGCCATCCATACACCATGCCCCCCCATAGCTCCCTCTCTGGCCCGTGCGACAGCGGGGCGGCCTGTGCGACAGAGTTTCAGCAACTCCTTTTCCGTCGGTTCTCAAAGTGCATGAGCCTCCAACGCCGACTGGGAGGAGGAGGAGGTGGAGGAGGAGGAGGAGGTGGAGGAGGAGGAGGAGGAGCAGGAAAAGACCCCGAGTGCGCCGCCCCGCTGCCACTCGCCCAATGCCCCCCGTGCCCTTCACTTCCCCTTTTCCCCTCCCTTCCCCTCCGCTTTCCCCTGGCGCCCCTCCTCGTTTCCTCTCCACGCCCTCCCCGTCCTCCCTGTCGGGGGGGAGGGCAATCAGGAAGGACGGGGCGCGCATAGAACGGAAACGAGAAGGGGCGTCAGGGAAAGGCCAAGTGGTGGGGGGGGGCGGGGAAAAAGGGAAAGGCGGGAAGGGGGATTGGGGCGCGTGGGAACGCGGAGGGGAAAGGGCAATCGCAGGGGACTGACAGGAAAGGGGGGCGGGAAAACGGATAATGAAGTGTGAAGGCGGAACGGGATATCGACAGGGGATATGGGATGGCAAGGGAGGGGACGGCGACAGGGGACGGGTGTGGAGTCGCGGGCGAGGGAGGTCAGTGCAAACTTCCTGGCAGCTCGTGCAGGGTCTCTCGAGACATCGCTGGAGGCCCCAAGGGCCTCGCAAGCTGCACCCAATTAGGAACTCAAGGGCCGCTGACGTCATGACCCCATCCAGACGGCACGGAGGGGTCTCTGGCGACGTCGCATTCGCGCGACGGCTTCACATTATGCTTCGGAATGGGCCATCCCCAAAAGAGTTGCAGCACGCGCGCCTCGAGCTTTCATGAGCAAGAACAACACAACAACAACGAGCCGTGGAGATGGCACCCGTGTCGCGACGGCTGGAAGGACAGGACGTCCATGTCACACCACGGGCAAGAAACAAGACTAATGGATCTCATATTTCGGTGGGATGTTGCGCGGGACGGGAACACGAATGCTGTGCATGGGGCGTGGGACAATTCGTTTACCAGCTGGTGCCGGTGCAGATAACAGGGTGTAGCGCACGAAAGTAAACATGCGAAAATAGTGAACGAGGTGGAATCAAGAGAATAAGCGCACATGCAAACAACTAGTGCATGGCACCATTCATTCGTGCAGCCAACCAATCCTTTCGATGTCTGCCTAGTCGCCTGCCTCAACCAACATGTCCCACGCAACGACGAATTGATTTGGCGGCACAACGCGCACTCCGAGCTCATGTAAACCTGCTGCTGATCATCTGCCCTGTTCTCCTCCTCGCCTGTGTCCCCGTCGTCCCCGTCCCTTTCCTTCATCAGTGGCTGCTGCTGTCGCCCCTCACTCGATCCACACAATCGAACATGATATGGTGAGCCGTACTATATAGTGCATCCTACGCGTGCAAACAGCCCCATCACTTATCCCTACGGTAGATGTAGGCCGGTCGATGAGCGATAGGGTCTGGGATGAGAGTTGGCGTAAGCGAGTGATCTTTCCCATTCATCACACGCAAAAACAACCATACATGGGATAGTCACGTTCTCTGCGGCTCGCGGCTTGCGCCAAGCGGCGGCGGACGCGGGCGCGTCGCTCGCAAACTCGCCTTTGACCTCCCTTCGAAGTCGGGAGGGGAGAAGCCGAGCGACGGGCCCCGTCAAGATCTATTCAGCAAATACGAGACTCTACGAGCAGCAACCGCGCAACAGGCAACCTCGTCACTCAAACTGAACAACGGGCCCTCGAAACCGTGAGCATGGATATAAAATACATGTTGTCCGACATGGTAATAGCCTGATACGACGGTGCTTGGCGATAATGTGTCGGATTATCTGATGTGCAACGAGCTCTATGCAACCCGCTTGATTAGATAGGCATGCGCGGGCCAACCATGCACTCTCGAATGAATCGACCATGCCGCAGCCATTACATCCCCTTGCACTCGTTACCCTGGTCCTCTCCCGCGAATTTCCTCGTCCTCCCCGTTCGGAAAGGCGCCTCAAGCTGCAAGTCAGGATCTGGAAAGCGGGCGCGACGACGCCCCTGTGCAGCGCGTAGACGAGTCTGGAGCAGCCCAAATGATCTCGCAGCGCTCTCAACTCTTTCTCGGCCTCGGCGTTGGCCTCGGACATGGCCTCGGCATTGGCCTCCGAGAAGCAATGACGACAGGCTGATTGACAGAGGAGATCATGCGGAGACACCCGCTGTAGCTTATAGGGGGTGCTTGATTGCACGTGTATTGTGTTATGAGTACAATGCTGAATCTGAGGTGCAGCACGCAGCCGAAACTTGCCGGCCCGACGGGCCAAAGACAGCTTCAGACTACCTCTAATTCGCGCGCGCTCGTGGCTGCCCCCTGGGGGTCCCCGGACGGGAAGTACCCGCCGGAACTCCCGGGCGGTCCCTGTCACTCGCCATCGCTCGGACGTCCATTCCCTGTGTGTTTTCTCAGTTTCGTGCGTGGTTTTTTCGTCAAATGATCAAGGATGTTCCTCGATGGTCCTCGCCGAAAGAAAAATGCACACGTCCGAGCGATGCCAAGCCTGGGGGCTGCCGTCAGAGCCTTCAAGAGCGTCTCAGAAGGCCCCCAAGGCGGTCTGAGAGTGTCCAGTCACCAGAAGGTTGATGGCTTCAACCGCCTGCAAGACACTCAGTCAGCGGGGGCCCGGACTGGGGACCCGAACGGACATTTCGAGCCCTCAGCCCCGAGAGGCCCCCAGGAGGCACCAGGAGGCCCTCAAGAGGCCTCTTGAGGCCCTAAAGATGCCCTCAGGAAGCCCCAATAAGCCTCAGGAGGCTCCCACAAGGCTCCCAAGAGGCGCAACAGCTATCCCGAAGAGGCCCCCGAGAGCGCTCCGAAGAGACCCCAGAGAGCAGCCCTGAGGACTCTGACCTACAACCCAGGCACGGTGGCGGGATATCCTAGGCAGCAATGGGGGCAGATAAAGGTCAGCATGGGCCTCAGCAGATAAAGCTATGTGGCGCAAGCTGTATGGTGCAAGCTATGTGGCGCAAGCTATGTGGCGCAAGCTGTGTGCGGGCGTTGGCAAAACTGGGCTTAGCGGGACCTAGTTTAGTAATTTGTCCTGGGGGACGCCCCCCCCCGCCCCGTTCCACCTCTCCGGAACTGCCGTCACCCGGGAAAAACACCAAGTACGGCAGACCTGTTTTTTTAGTGAACCTGGCAAATTTAGGGACCCCGTTGGCCTGACGGGGTCCATCATGAAAATGACGAGACGCAATATGAAATCTGACGCGAGCTCCCACTGCAAACATCCAACGAAAACTGGACCGTCAAAATCCAGGACGCGCTCGTCATAAAAACGTCGGCAAACCCGAGTTCCGGCTTACCCGAGTCTTACGTTCCCACGATAAAAATCAGGGGTGCCTCTAAGAAGCCCTCCCCCCTCCCCCCAACCCCCCTCTGCGCGTGGCGGCAACGAGGCAGCCAGGGGCGGCGGCGCGGCGAGCCCTCGGCGGGCACCAAAAAGCCGGCGGCAGCGGAGCGTTGATGGGCAGCTTTTGATACATCGGGTTTTTAAACATATACGATTTTCTATACATGATGAATGTATGAATACATTTATGCATGAACTCATCGTTGCTTTTGATACTAAATCCCTGCATGTTCAATACATGATCCGCACGCGGAGCATGTATCAAAAACGGCACTGTGCAGTCCTTCTCACCGCTAGACCGTGTTGGCGGTCCACGCGACGATCTGCCTCGAGGCGCCGACAGTCGTTGCGGCGTGGCCAGGCAACAATTCATGAGGTGCGCTCCTGTGAAGCACAGGCCGCAATGGCTCCAGCAGGCCTGCAGGAACAAATGGTTGCACGAAGGCGCTCTTGTGAGCTTCACGTCCATGCAGCATCATTCTGCCGGTAGGGGGCGAATTCATCCCACCTGGCCTGCCCTATGTAGCTTCTCACTCCAGGTAATGAGTGTGCCAGGAGAGCAACAGTAGCGTCCGCCCTGAGCAGTTCAATCACCATTTCCAAGGGGGTCCGGTGCGACTCATACGGCTCAGAGGTCAGGTACCCCCTGATCATCCCTTCATTTCCACAACTTAATATTTGGAAGGGCCCGAAAACCCGCGCCCCTCCTGAGCTCTAGTCTGTCCTCATTGCAACCTTATGAATGTAGGTTTAAGCACCTGGAAGCATTACGGGGCCGGTTTAGAGGTGGCTTCCTGGACAGACCTAAGCGCAAACATACGTGTACCAAATATTGAACTACAGCTCAGTTTTCGGGACGCCCAGTGCGACGTGAGCACCCCTGGAAGGCGCCTGGCGGATGGCGGCTGATCTGATGGAGACGATCCCGCGGTCCAGCCTCTACACATGCACGGTCGAACACATTAGCTGAGGGCAAGATGTAAATCCGGACCTATGGGACCACCATGGGTGGTAAGGAGGCTGTGTATGGGGGGAGTTCAGCTTTCGGTGCGCGATTGGGGTCGGATCGGATTCTTCGGAAACCAGGTGGGCACCACGGAGAAGCTTTTTGGCAATCTATCTATCGATCGATCCCACTCTCGAACTACCCATCGATCTCACTAGCGATCTCCCTCAATCGATCGATTTTGAAGGGAAACTGGGACACACAAATAAATACACACACGCAAATAAAAGGATTCCCCATATTTTCCCATATCTTCTGGGTTTCTGTCCTCCTCCCCACCTCCCATACTTTCCCATATTTTTTTCTGGGGAATCGACGATTCATTGTGTCTGTGTGTTTTTCCCCTCCTGAGATTTCACGATGTATCGATCTCACAATCGAACGATCGATCGATCGATCTCACTCTCGAACTACCTATCGATCTCACTAGCGATCTCCCTCAATCGATCGATTTCACGACCGATCTCACAATCTCAAAACCGATTTCTCGGTCGATCTCGCTATCGATCTAAACATCGGCCTCACGGGACCTCACGGGGACACCACGCCACGGGACGCCACAAGGGAAACACCGGCGGGACACCGGCGGGCGGGACACCCCCTCGAGCCACCGCATTGCCAACCGGGGGAGGAAACTCATCAAGCCCAGTATCGCCTTAGCACTCGCCATCGCTCGGACGTCCATTCCCTGCGCGTTTTTTCGGTTTCGTGCGTGGTGTTTTCGCCAAATGATCAAGGATGGTCCTCGATGGCCGTCGCCGTGAAAAAAATGCACACGTCCGAGCGATGCCAAGAGCAACGGCGGGTTCATTCGTCTCGCCCGCCCACGCATCTTCGCCTCGCCCGCACGCCCGGCACGAACACGAAACCGAAGCCGATTTCCCGGTTGCGGAAACACCGCGGGAGCCGACCTGCGACGGGAAGCTTGCGACGCGCGCCATGGCCTGAAAAGAAAGCGAGCGACCTTGGCGGAGGCCAACTATATGTTTGGTACTACACGGGGCTATCTCACGCCCCACGAATCACTCTCAGCCAGAGAGCGTAAGCAATCGTGATCAAGGCGACCCGCTGAGGGCGATCCACTGCACCGAAGGGCGTCGTGCGAGAATGCAATGCGAGAGCAGCACGTTCCGATAGGCGCCCCAGGTGGGGTCGAAGCGGATGGGATCGGAGGATCGCGCCGCATCGTCGATGCATCGCCAGTGCACCAGCGATGCATCGGCGATGCGTCGGCGTGGAGAAAGTCGTGCTCCACATCGAGCCGCATCGCCAATGCATCGGCGATGCTAGAGGAAGGAAGAACCACACAAACATATAAACATCAACTGTTTGAGGTGCGCGCGGATTTCTTGGATCGGCGGTGGATCCCCCTCCCTGGCGCGCGGAGCGCACCTCCGGCGCCGCCAGGGGGGTCCCAGCGCGAATCCAAGAAATCCACGCGGAGCGCCGAAATTTCGTGTTTACGGTGTTTTCAATCTTCGAATATCGCCAATGCATCGGCGACGCCGCGCGATGCTTCGACCCCGTCCACCCTGGTCCCACCTGGGAGGCCTGTGGAGGGCTGGGCCACAGCGGGAGGGAGGAGGAAAAGGAGGAGGAATTGAAGGAGGAGGAGAAGGAGGAGGAGGAGGAAGAGGAGGAGAAGAGTGAGGAGGAGGGGAGGAGGAGGAGGAGGAGGAGGAGGAGGAGGAGGAGGAGGAGGAGAAGAAGGAGGCGGAGGAGGAGGAGGAGGAGGAGGACGAGGAGGAGGAGAAGGAGGAGGACGAGGAGGAGGAGGAGGGGGAGGAGGAGGAGGAGCCCACCTGGGAGGCCTTGAGTTCCACGGGTCCCCGAAGCGATCACAGGAGCAGCCGTGCGTGGCGAGCGGCCGCCCCCGCCTCGGCGTCGCTGGCCCGCCGCGCCGTGTCTCGGACCTCCCTGGCCAGCTCGTCGCGCTGCTGGGTGAGGGCGTCCCTGGGCGCCGGCGCCGGCGGCCCCTCCACCCTCCACAAATTCGCCGGCCCAACGGGCCAAGGGCGTGCTAAGATCTCCGGTAACTGGTTAACAATATTCTAGTTCGCGCGCGCGGGGCCGCCCCTGGGGGTCCCCGGACAAAAAATACCCCGGGAGACCCCGGGACACCCCCAGGACACTCGGATCAGACCAGACCGGGCAATTTTTCGACACCCCTCACGAGGATCGTGGCCTCCGAGGGGAGTGGCGCAATCGACTACCCCCCCTCCTGACCCAAGAGGTCCCCAAGAGCCCCCCAAGAAGCTGCAGGGGCCCCCAAGACGCCGCCAAGAAGCCCCAAGAGACTCCCAAGAGGTCCCCAAGAGGCCCCCAAGAGGCCCTAAAGAGGGCTCCAAGGTCGGCGGAATGAGCGAAGCGATCAATATAACGCCATAAGCATACAATTTTGGCGCTCCGCGCGGATTTTCTGGATCTGCTCTGGACCCCCTCCCTGGCGCGTGGAGCGCGCCAGGGGCGGCGCCGGAGGCGCCGCCGGAGGGGCCCAGCGCGGATCCCAAAAAACCCGCGCGGAGCGCCAAAAGTTTATGTTTATGGCGTTCTTGCCTCTGTGACACAATTTCTGAATATGCAAACTACTCCCCTCTCTCCATAGAAAAATGCCAGGGAGAGCCCGCCCCTCTCCGCGCTCTGCTTACCGCAGCGGTGCCGGCCGCAGCGGTGGCCTCAGCTCAAATTCGGCGTTGTGGCCCCGTCGTTCAGAATGGCGCTCTCGCCCCAGCAGGGGTCACTATTTTCCAGATCAAAATCTTTCCTCATAATCGTCGCCCCCCTGCTCTCCCCTCTTCCGCCTTCCCGAGGTCCTCCTGCCCCTCCCGCTACGTCTATTCCAGCTCCTGCCGTTGTTCGTCATCGTCCTCCTCCTGCCTCCTCCTCCTCCTCCTCCTCCTCCTGCTCCTCCTCCTCCTCCTCCTGCTCCTCCTCTTGCTCATCCTCCTGCTCAACCACCTCCTCCTCCTCCTCCTCCTCCTCTTCCTCCTCCTCATCCTCCTCCTCATCCTCCTGCTCAACCACCTCCTCCTCCTCCTCCTCCCCCTACCCCAGTGTTCCGATTCACCGTCGTAGATCGACCGTGCCCTCTCTGGAACTCCACGTCCGCTGCGCCTCGCGCCGGCGGATCGGGCAGGCCTCGGCGCGATGGAAGGGAGGGGTGGGATGGGGCAGGACGTCAGACATGGCGCGGGCGCACGTGGCTCGCCCCTGCCCCCTTCCTCCCTCCATCTCCTCCTCCTCCTCCTCCTCCTCCTCCTCCTCCTCCTCCTCCTCCTCCTCTGCTCCCCGCTTCCCCACCGCCTGCTCCGCCTGTCCCCTGCTCGCCGCCTCCTGCTCCCACCGCCTCGCCTTCACCTCCGCGGCCTCCTCGTCCTCGTCCCTATCTCCTCTTCTCTTCTCCTCCCCCCTCCCCATTGCTCTTCCTGTTCGTCTCTCAGTCCACACCCGAGTCTCCAGCACTTTGGGGCGAGCTGGAATGCCTTGTCAACTGTTTGGTAAACTGTCCGTCGCTCCCTCCAGCCCTCCAGGCAGCCGGTGGCCTTCGGGGTACTTTGCCGAAGCTCCTCCCCTCGATCCCGAGTCGGGGGAGCATTCAGCGGGGGCGAACGAGGAGCGCAAGAAAACCAGACCAAAGGGGGGCTCTACAGGGCGCCTGAAATGGGACCCCGAGTATACAACTAGGTCGGGCATGTCCTAACTACGGGCGGTTATGGGAAGAAATATTCAAACAAGAGCGACACATACCGAGACATCGTAAAACATGGTCGAGAGATCGTCCCCAGATGTCAAAACCAAAAACACACAAAACAAAATGTCTGAACATGCCGCGTGTAGAGGGACATGCCCGCCTTAAGACTACAGGGAGCCTGGAAGAGTGCAACATCATAGCATCACCCAGCGTACTGCCCCCCAGGTGGCCGTCCGCCCGAGGGTCCGCCTCTTGGGGCCTCTATGTGGCGTCTCTTCAGATATTGTCCTGCTCCTCCTCCTCCTCCTCCTCCTTCCCCTCCTTCCCCTCCTTCCCCTCCTTCCCCTCCTTCCCCTCCTCCTCCTCCTTCTCCTCCTCCTCCTCCTTCCCCTTCTCCTCCTTCCCCTCCTCCTTCCCCTCCTCCTCCTCCCCCTCCTTCTCCTCCTCCTTCCCCTCCTCCTTCTCCTTCCCATCCTCCCTCCCCTCCATCCCCTCCTCCACCTCCTCCTCCTCCTCCTCCTTCTCTTCCTTATCCTTCCCCTCTTCCATCCCCTCCTCCTTCCCCTCCTCCTTCTCCTTCTCCTCCTTTCGGGCGGCCTCCTCCTCCTCCTCCTCCTCCTCCTCCTGCTCCTCCTCCCTCCTCCTCCTGTTTCTCCTCCTCCTGGCGGCTTCGGGTCTTCTTTTCAGTGCCCCCCACCTTCCCCTCGACGCTGGCATCGTCCGAAAACCGTCCGCTCCACGACGGCCGATGATCTCGACAAGACGGCTGCAAGATGCTCAACGATCAGCCCGAGACTACCCAGCGACCCACCCAAGACTCCAAGACGTCCCAAGCGCGTCCTATTACTCGCAAAGAGATTACTCGCAAATGGCCCGGATCCGCCGCGGGGGACTTGCATTCTATTCCATCGAGGCAAACATGCGCTTGTCGGACGCGTGCGAGTAGACACTTTTGCGGGTAGTGGAACGCGCTTGGTCTCGTAGGCCTGGAGATGCGGTCCCAGAACCCTCCACGGTGCCCCGTGAGGCCTCCCACGAGACAAATGATGGAACACCACAGCGCTCTGCAAGTGGCTTGTCTCCAGTGCTTTGAAGGGGCCCTTGGACACACAAATAAATACACAGAAATAAACAGATTCCCCATATTTTCTTATATTTTCTGGGTTTCTGTCTCCCCCCCCTTCCTATAGTTTCCCATATTTTCCTGGGGATCGCCGGTTAAGTGTGTCTGTGTGTGTGTTTTCCCCTCCTGAACAGCGCTCTGCAAGTGGCGCGCTGGGCAAGCTTCAGAGGCCCTCCAAGGGGACATCGGCACGATTTCTGAGGAGGAGGGTGGGGTTCACTCCACTCGGCAGCTCCCGAACGAAGTGAACCCCACCCTCCCCCTCGGAACTCGTGGGGGGTGGTGGGGGTAGGGTTCGCACGTGGCCCCCTAAAGGGGTTGTCTCCTCCTCCTCCTCCTCCTCCTCCTCCTCCTCCTCCTCCTCTCCCTCCTCCTCCTCCTCGTCCTCGTCCTCCTCCTCCTCCTCCTCCTCCTCCTCCTCCTCCTCAGGGCACCGAGCCCGAACGGGTTTCCACACCGAGCCTCCTGCCTGACGCTGCTGCGCTGCCTGACGCTGCTGCGCTGCGGCGCTGCTGCGCTGGCGCGGTGGCTGGGCTTGACACGCGTCGCGGGCTCTCTCGGGAGCCCCGCGGGGGCTGTGCTCGGCCGAGGCCGCATGGTCCAGCATCAGAAGGGGAACAAAAACACACAGACAGAATGAATCGTCGATTCCTCCGAAAATGTCCGAAATATGGGAGGTGGGGGGAAGGCAGAAACCCAGAAAATATGAGAAACAATGGGAGACCTGGTTATTTGTGCCTGTTTACTTGTGTGTGCCAGTTTCCCTTCACAGCACACAGCCAAGACACATGCCGAGCCTTGCAGGATTGGCCGGTTTGGGCAATCCAGAGGTCCGCTTCGGGGCCTCGCGTGGCCCTCTGGGAACTCCGAGGCTCGCTCTGGAGCCTCTAGGGCCGCCGTGGGCTCTGTCCAGCGACGTCTTGGGCTGTCGTGGACCGTCTTGGGCCCGTTTGGGTCCACCTTGGGCGGTACTGGCTCTCTCTTGGGGGCCTTCTACGTCTCTCGGTTCCTCTCTGAGCTGTCTGGGGACGTCCTCGAACAGCTCGGTGTTCGGGTCCGTCAGGGCGGCCTGGTGGCCTCCAGGATCTCTCCGGGAGTCGCTGTTGGGGCCAGAGACGGTGACGCTGGGAGCACGGACTTACACAGGAATTCGGTGACGCCCACCCCGGGGTGGGTGGGGTCTGCCGACTCGTATGGTAAAAGAAAGAGCGTCTTCAATCACGACCGAGGAATCCGACAGACTTCATATACGCATCCACGGAGCATGGCCGCGCGAGGCATCACGGCAAGCAGGCGAGCTAACACCAGATCCACGCGAGCGCGAGCGCGAGCGCGAGCGCGAGGCGAAAACGACCGAGAGAGAGAGAGAGAGAGAGGCTCGGGCGCGGCGCTGGGGGCGAGCAGGCCAGGGGAGGGCCGTGCGCGTCTCCCGCGGCGCCGATGGCCCGAGGCTCTTCGGCAGGGCTCTCCCGGGCGAAGCCGCGCACGGCCCGCCCCTCAGGGCCGCCTCTCCGCCCCTTTTTTGGGCGCCCGATGGGACGCACAGAGACATACTAATACTATATGTCCTCCTTGGAGGCGCGCGTCCGACCCAAGCATATAGTATACCCATCTTGTAGTATATCGTTTCCCGAGCGGTGTGGCCAGAAAGCGCACGCCGCGACGCATATACTATAAGATTTCTCCGTGCGCGCGTCGCCCCTGGGGGGGCGACGCACATACAGTATAAGTATGTTGGGGTGATGCCGACCCGAGTTCTCCGGGGCAACTCGGGCCCGGGGTAAAGCGGCTTTGGATCCCCGAAAAAAAACGAACCCGAGTCATCGAGGATTGGTTCTGTGAGAGCGCCTTTCTCGAGCTCGGGGGCCTCGAGCGTAGCAGCTACTTGCTTCCACTGCCACGGCTCGCAGCCTCGACAAATTAGCTGACGAACCCGAGTTAGCCCTGACCCGAGCTACCCCTGATGACTTGGGGCTCTGGACGCCCGAGTTATCCGGGGGTGACTCGGGCCCGGGGCAACGCGGGTTGGGCATCCCGACATGCGAACCCGAGCTAGCCCTGACCCGAGCTACCCCCGATGATTCGGGTCTCTGACCCTTCGTCGCCGCGGCGCGAGGCACCTCGCGAGGCGGCGCGGGGCGGCGCGGGCCGTGCGGCGGCGAGGCGCCGCCGAGGCTCCTCCTCCTCCTCCTCCTCCTCCTCCTCCTCCTCCTCCTCCTCCTCGGCGAACCGCCTTTTTTTGGCTGTTGGGGAGGGCGGCGGCCCGGCTGCGGCAGGCCCGCGGGCGCGGCTCGGCCGCGGCCGCGGGGCCCTCGGGGAAACGCCGGGGGCCGAGCCCCCTCCCCCCGAAGGCCGCGGGCGGGCGCCCTGGGCGCGGGCCTCGCGCGCGAGGGGGGGGTCGCGGCGCCTCGCCGTCGCTCGGACGTCCATTCCCTGTGTTTTTTGTCGGTGTCGTGCGCGGCTTTTTCGCCAAATGATCAAGGATATGCTCCGCGATGGTCCTCGCCGAAAGAAACATGCACACGTCCGAGCGATGCCAGGACGCGCGGCGCGCGCTCGCGGGCGCGAGGGCTGGCGCGCCCGACGTGGGCACGGAGAGCAGGTGCCCGACAGCACAGGTGCTGTGCAAAATCGAGCAGCGGCCGCTGCTGGGCAGGCGCCCGTTCGACTTCCAGGGGAAGCGTCCGCGGCAGCGCGGGCAGCGAATAATCCTGTGCAAGATGAGCAGGGCCTGCTGCTGGGCATCGTGTACATTCCTTCCGTGCCCATTTCGATCGCCCCGATCGCCCCGAAAGGAGGGAAGCGTCGAGAGCACCGACGTCCGGACGAAGCCACCAGTCGGGCGGGTTGGTAGGGGGGGGACCCCCACGGGGTGACTGGCCATCGCTCGGACGTCCATTCCCTGTGTTTTTTTCGGTGTCGTGCGTTTTTTTTTTTTTTTTTTTTTTTTTTTTTTTTTTTTTTTTTTTTTTTTTTTTTTTTTTTTTTTTTTTTTTTTTTATATATATATATATATATATATATTATATATATATATATATATATTATTATCAAATGATCAAGAATGCTCCTCGATGGTCCTCGCCGAAAGAAACATGCACACGTCCGAGCGATGCCAAGGTGAAGAAAAGGGCCCGAAGAGGAACCCTTTGGGGCCCTCTTTGGGACCCTGGTGGCTCTGGAAGGAGCCTTAAAGAGCCCCCTTGGGGGCCCTTTTCTCCCTCCTCCCCCCCCCATGTTCGGGCACCACCCATGATCGGCGGTGGACACACCTTCGTAAACCTCCCCTTCGTGAAAACGGCCCAAGACCGAAACCGACGGGCCTGGACCCGCAAAAATGGCGGCCGCGGCGCCCTCTGTGCCGTGGCCCCATCGAAAGTTCCACGGCAGGCCATTTTGGGGGTGCCCGCATGCGGTCCCCCCACCCAATGCAGCTCTTCGTGGCCCCATAAGGAGCTCCACCGAAGTCTCTAGTGGGGGTGCCCGCACGCGGTCCCCCCACCCAGTGCAGCGTTTCGTGGCCCCATAGGGAGCTCCACCGATGGCTCTAGTGGGGGTGCCCGCATGCGGTCCCCCCTACCCAGTGCAGCGCTTCCTGGCCCATAGGGAGCTCCACCGAAAGCCCCTGTGGGGGCGCCCGCATGCGTCTCCCCAACCAGTGCAGCGTTGTGTTGCCCCACAGGGAGCTCCACCGATGGCTCTAGTGGGAGTGCCCGCATGCGGTCCCCCCTACCCAGTGCAGCGCTTCCTGGCCCATAGGGAGCTCCACCGAAGGCCCCTGTGGGGGGGAGCCCGCATGTTGTCCCTCCATCCAGTGCAGCGCTTCGTGGCCCCATAGGGAGCTCCACCGAAAAACCCTGTGGGGGCGCCCGCATGCGTCCCCCCTCCCAGTGCAGCGCTTCGTGGCCCCATAGGAAGCTCCACCGAAGGCCCTAGTGAGGGTGCCCGCATGCATCCCCCTCAACCCGGTACAGCGCTTCATGGCCTCATAGGGAGCGTCACCGAAGGCCCCTGTGGGGGTGCCCGCATGCGTCCCCCCCACACCCACCCAGTACAGCGTTCCGTCGCCGTAAAGGGATCTCCACCGAAGAAGATATATATATATATATATATATATATAAACAATTGCTGTACTCACAACTGCAGATGGTTGGGTCCTTCGCAAGGACAATCTTCGCATTTTCTAGATTTCCGTCTTCCCCTCCACTTCCCATCATTTTCTATATTTTCCTGGGGATCGACAATTAATTGTGTCTGTGTTTTGATTCCCTCCTGAGCTTTGGACGCCCGAATTATCTGGGATAACTCCGGTCTGGGGCAGCTTCGGTCTGGGCCCCAGAGGCACGACCCTGCAGCTACCCCTGACCGCCGTCAGCCCGTATGTCTCGGGGCTCTGAGTGCTTCGGCTTGACCTCCCCGCGCCTTCCCAGAGGCCGCGCCTTGCACTAGAGACCTCCGGGTCAGAGTAGATGGGGTTAGAAGATCGCGCCGCGGTGACACTGCATCGGCGACGTCGGCGACGCATTGGCGCCATCGGCGTGGAGAAATTCTGGCTCCACATCGAGCCGCATCATCGATGCATCGGCGATGCGGAGCGATCCTCCGTCCCCAGCAACTCCGACCCCATCTGGGAGCCCAGAGACGAGGACCCTCGACGGATGGACCGGGCAGGTCGGGGGTTGCCAGTAAGCTGGCCCTGGCCCAACCCCCGAGCTTCTCGCTCTACTCTGGGAGCCCCTGGGGCCCTCTGGGCCTCGGGAGGGGTGGCCCGGAGGCCGCCTGGGTGACCCCTCCCGAGCAGCTTGGGGGCACCTTGGGCCAGGGGGGGCACTTCTAGCAACACCCGAGGCTTTGGACGTCCGAACTGGGTGCGGGAGACATAGGCAGACAACGCCCACCAACAAACGTTCTCCGAAACCGACAGCGGTCGCTGTGGTGCAGGCGGCCTCCTTTCTCCCGTGAACCACGCCCGCGGCGGCGCGGACAACGAGGCCCGTCCCACATGAGCAGGCACTGCTGTTGGGCATCGCACCCGCTATCTTCCCGCACTCTGGTTTCTTTCTTATCGGGTCGGGCGAAAGGGGGGGATAGCAAGGGGGAGGTTTGAGAATCAGCTCACGTAGCTGATTTTCCCGGCGCCCCCCGGCGCAGGAGGCGGCTATGTATCGAGGAATGGGCCCCTCGGTGAGGCCAAACCCAGCTGCATGCAGCAAATCCTGTAACCCCCCCTTTCCCAATCCCCCCCGTTCGCCTGGCCCGATGTTGGGCATCGTACCCGCTCTTCCCGCACTCTGGGTTTCTTCATTAGGGTGAGGGGGTGCCCCCCCGACGGGGGCCACCGACGGGGGTCGACCTCGCCTCGTCGTCGCGCCGCGACGGCGGGCCGGAGCGCTTTCGGCGCGCGGTGGCCGCCCGCGACGGGGGTCCACGTGGGGCTGTCAGCGGGGGTGACGGCCCCCCCCCCCGGGTCGGGCGAAAGGGAGGGATAGCAAAGGGAGGGTTTGAGAATCAGCTCACGCAGCTGAGTTTCCCGGCGCCTCCCGGCGCCGGGAGGCGCATGAATCGAATCATGGGCCCGGCGGCGGGGCCGAAGCCGGCTGCATGCCGCAGATTTCGTACCCCCCCCACCTTTCCCTATCCCCCCTTTCCCTATGCCCCCCTTTCGTTCGGCCCGACATGTGGGGCTGTCGGCGGGGGTGACGCCGCCCCCCCCCCGACGCTTATGAAGAAGCTCGGAGTGCCCGTTCCGGTCGCCCCGAGGCACTGGCCATCGCTCGGACGTCCATTCCCTGTGCTTTCTTCGCTTTCGTGCGTGGCTTTTTCGCCAAATGAGCAAGGATGCTCCTCGATGGCCCTCGCCGAAGGAAAAAATGCACACGTCCGAGCGATGCCAAGAGGCAAGGGGGGGAGGCAGGGAGGCCCGCGCTGGCGGCGGGGCAGTGCGCGCGCGCGCGCACGCCCTCGCGGGCTCTGTCGAATTCCGTGGCGTGTGCGCGCGGCCTGCCGGGCGGCGGGCCCCGTGGCCCGGGGGGAACGGCCAGGGGGGGGGGGGATAGCCGAGGGGTAAGTGACTACCTACCAGGCCACCCCAACCCAACCCGAAGACCCGAATTTCGGGTTGGGGGGGGGTAAGGGTTCCACATGTGTTTTCTCAATGTTTCCCGACCCCCCCCCCACTGGAAATCGAGGGTAAATCTGAGCCTTCGGGTTGGGTTGGGGTGGTTTGGTGGGTGGTGAGGAAGGCCGAGAGAATGACAGTCAACCAGTATACAGTCGAGGCGTTGACCTGAGGAGCCCTAAGTAAGGAACGAGGCCCCTCTTTTCCAGAAGTTGACCTTTGATTTCGTATCGGGAACCTAAGGGAAATCCAAGGCAGAACCTGGAGCCCCTCCCCAACGAAAAGGGTTCCTTCTTCAGGGCCCCGACTGTAGTAAGGATGCGCGATCAGGATGCGAGGGCCTTGGACGCCCATTTCGAAGCCTTTCGAGCGGGGCGCGGCCAGCGACAGAGGCGAAGGACGGACCGAGGATGCAAGGATGCAAGGGTACCCTTCTGGGAAGGTTGCCCATCCATGCTATGCGGGTTGACTGTACCTCACGTGGCTGATTCTGATTTTCTCCCAGCGCCTCCCGGTGCCAGGAGGCGCCCGTGCATCGAGGAACGGGCCTGGCGACGGGACCGAAGCCAGCTGCATGCAGCAGACTTCGTAGCCCCCCCTTTCCCTATCCCCCCCTTCTGAGCATTTTCTTAGGGTGGAGAGCTCAAGGTGAAAACTCCTATGTGCTCGCACCTCGGAAAGAAAATCCTCCTTGTGCTTCACCTTTTTTGATGGCAGAGTCAAGCAACTAAAATCAATCGAAACGGCATTTTGGAGTTGACTTGAGCAGGGACCGCCCGTCCCGGCATTCCTATAGTCCTACCAGGGAATCGTCGACCCGATGTGATAAAACAAGGCAGTCCCAGCCAGAAATGCTCTAAGAACAGGTCGTGTACACAACAGAAAAGGTTCTTAGAGCATTGTGTGGTAGGGCTGGCTATAGGCGATCCAGGACGCTTCGCCACTGCTCGATTAGGGGGAGGGGGCCACATGCGAACCCTACCCCTACCCCCCACGATTTTTGAGGGGGAGGGTGGGGTTCACTTCGCTCGGGAACTCTCGAACAAAGTGAACCCCACCCTCCCCCTCAAAAATCGTGGGGGGTAGGGGTGGGGTTCGCATGTGGCCCCCTATCGATTCACCCTTTGCCCTCCACCCAAAGACTTAAAGAGAATGCTCGGCCCTCGCGTTCGGCCCGAGGTGGCCGCGATGGGGGCGCGGAGGCGCCGCCTCCGCAGGCCCGCGCCGCGGGGGTGGGCGGCCGGCCGGGGGGGGGGGGGGAAGGCCCTCGCGGGCGGCCCGTGGGGCGCCCCTGGGCGAGGGGGCCGTCCAAGGGGGCCCGGGATGCTGCTGCTCGGCACCGCCACCAGAAGTTGGAGGGGGAGGGGGTCCTCCTCCTCCTCCTCCTCCTCCTCTCTTCTTCTTATTATTATTCTTATTAGTATTAGTATTATTATTACTTCATTCGTCTTCTTCTTCTTCGTCTTCTTCTTATTATTATTGTTAGTATTATTATTATTTTTCTTATTATTCCTTCCTCCTCCTCCTCCTTCTCCTCCTCCTCCTCCTCCTCCTCCTCCTCCTCCTCCTCCTCCTCCTCCTCCTCCTCCTCCTCCTCCTCCTCCTCCCTCCTCCTCCTCCTCCTCCTCCTCCTCCCCCTCCTCCCCTTCTCCTCCTCGTCCTCCTCTTCCTCGTCCTCCACCTCCTTCCCCCTCCAACTTATAGTGGTGGTGGAAAACAGGCCCATCACCACATCCCAAACATAACATCGAACACCCAGAAAAGTGTCGAAGCGGTGCCGAACGAAACTCGCCTCCCAGGGCCCGACACGTGAAAACTGTCAAGCTTCGGCACTTGCTTGATGCTCGAGATTCTTGCTGGTGATCAAAGCTAAAGTAGGTTGGAACATCATAAGCCTGGGAGGGAATACACCCACCAGGCAAGATCTTCGAGTTTTCGGCAGTGTAGCCGGCCCGTAGCATACGGATGCGCGATAAGAGGATGATGCATGGGCCTTCTGGCCTTCTGGAAGGCCATGTCGGCGCTTTCCGAGCGGGGCGCGGCCAGCAAGAGTGGCCAAGGATGGACCGAGTAGGCAAGGATGCAAGGGCACCCTTGAGAAGGATGCCCATCCTTACTATGCGGGCTGACCGTACCTGGCAGGCAAGATCTTTGAATTTTCGGCGATAGCTCGGATTATCCAGTGGGGGGGGGGAGGGGGCTAGGAGGGAATACCCACCAGACAAGGTCCTTGAACTTTCGACGATAACTCGGGCCGTCCAGCGGGGTGGAGGGGGCTGGGAGGGACTACCCTCCAGGCACAATTTTGAAATTTCGGCGACAGCTCGGGTTATCCAGTGGGGTCGGGGATCTTCTGACCCGGTTCAATCCAGACCCGGGTCAGCAGGAAACCAAAAACTGCAATGCAGGAACAAAAAAAAACTGCAACGCAGGCCTTCGCATACCCGGGTCAGCCAATACGCGCGGCCGCCTCGCGGCCACGAGCGGCTCGCTAACCCGGGTCAGCCAGAGGGGGTCTTCGCAGGATCCTGCAGGATCTGGCGCCGTAACTGACCCCCGTTTGCATTGACCCCCGTCTCAAGGCTCCCGGACACAGGCCCCAAAAGCCTGCAAGACACCCCTAAACCCAGACACAAACCCGAATCCTGCACTGCAGCAAGCAAAACATGCACGGGCGCTGAAAAACGTGACTTTGCAGGATGGGATGTCGTTTCCTCGGTTTCCCGTGTCCTGTTTTGTCTGTGTCCTGGTCTCCGGGGGCCTGGCGGGGGGTGCGAGGGGAGGTGCTGGCCGATAACCTGGCCGCGTTCCGCTTCGGGCAGCCCCGCGCACGCCCGGGCGCACCACTGCTGCGTACCCCCGTCGGACCTGCGCAGCCGACAGGCCCAGGCTACATGCTCGGGGAGGAGGGGGGGGGCGTGAGATGCGGGCAGTGTCTATATCCACATCCAGTGCGTCTTGAAGGTTAGGACTCTCTCTCCAAGAAACATGAGGCGCACCGGATATGGGTTATACTCTGGCTTCAAAAGGCTAGATGTTCATACATATCCAGAGCGCCGCGGCATTGCGGCGCCCCTTCCAAGAAAGTCCCAGACGCACTGGATGAGAATATAAATATTGCCCGCATGAGGGCCCGATGACCTGGGTGATCGCCGGACCCGAGCAAAAAGAGCCACCAAACCGGACAAGACCCACCAGACGACCCCGTGGAGGGGCTCGGACTCCTCTGGAAGCGTGTGGGAAAACTTGGTGGCAACGGAGAGAAGGAAAGTGATGGGCCTGTTTTCGACCACCACCAAGAAGTTGGAGGGGTGGAGGGGTAGAGGGTCCTCCTCCTCCTCCTCCTCCTCCTCCTCCTCCTCTCGTCCTCCTCCTCCTCCTGCTCCTGCTCCTCCTCCTCCTCGTCCTCCTCCTCCTTCCCTTTCAACGTATGGTGGTGGTGGTGGAAGACAGGCCCATCAGAAAAAGGGGTGGGTCAGGGCCAGGGGAGAGGGGGGGAGGGCCGCGGGGGAACGGACGCCCCCCCCACTGCCCAGCCTTGGCCGCCCCTGGGCGGCCCCCCTGGGCGGCCCTGGACCTTCAATCGCCACGGCGTTGCTCCGATGGCCGCTACTGTCAAGGCCTCCGGGGGCTCTGTGCGCGTGCTGGGCGAGGTCTCCACGCGACCCTCGCCCGACGCGGCGCCACGACCTCCCGCCCTCTCTCCCTTCCCTCCCCTCCCCCCCCTTTCGACCAGGGAGGTCGAACCGTGGCAACGAGCTCCTCGTGGACAACGAGGAGGTCCTGATTGCCCAGTTGACATGGGGCGCCCCCTGTCAAATGGGCAATCAGGGCTCTCCTCAGCTCGGACTGCCCGACCGCCCATGTGACAAAACAACCTCATTGCCGAATGGGCAATCGTGGCTCCATGCCGCTGGCCCAGCTGGGCTCCCAGATTGCTGATTTGACAGTGGGGCCCCGTTGTCCAAGGGCCAATCGGGGCTCAAGCCACGCCCACCCAGTCTTTTGACCATTTATTTCAAATAGGCACACTTTCAAATGGGCAATTTCAAGTGAGCAAGCGAAGCTGGATTCCGCCAGGCCGCCCGATTGCCCATCTGACAATGGTGCTACGTTGTCGACTGGGCCATCGCGGGCTCAAACGTCGCCCTCCTAGCCGGGCCCACCGATCCCAATTCTGACAATTGCCCCACGTCTTCTGATATCCGATCGGGGTGCAATGGGCCACCTTTCCCAATTGACCACGCCAATCGTCACATCGGCCATCAAAATTCCTCTCGCCTAGCCCTGCAACCCGACAGCCATCGGCAGGTAATTGTCACGTGGCCCATATCAAAAATGGGTTCCACTGCAAAGCCGGCCGCCAAGGCTTTTGACGCCAAAGCATTTCCTCGTGAGGCTGCGCGCCCAGCGGCGGAACACGCCTCGAGGAGCCAGCGGCTGCGCCACGGGGGTGCACGGCCGAAGAGCAGAGCGACCCCTGACTGGCCGAGCCACACAGTGGAGGCCCAGTCCACAGGACAGAACCGCCCACGAGAAGCCCAACCAACCCTGAGGCCCCAGGGCGTCCATCTGGGGGCCACATGCGAACCCTACCCCTGCCCCCCACGAGTTCTGAGGGGGAGGGTGGGGTTCACTTCGTTCGGGAGCTGCCGAGCGGAGTGAACCCCACCCTCCTCCTCAGAACTCGTGGGGGGCCGGGGTAGGATTCGCATGTGGCCCCCTATCCATGAACGTTTGGTGCGGGAACGTCGCGCTGAGCCATGCAAAAGGCCTCCCAAGGGTCGCCTCGCCCAAGAGGCAGAGTGGCCGGGATGCCTGCCCAGGTCAAGCGAAGCCAAACCGTGAGAGGCGGTACCACGAGGCCAAGCCGTGAGAGGCAGTCCTGGGGTTGCCAAACTGGGCTGCGTGAGGCCAGTCCACAAGCAAAACCTTCCACGAGAAAAACAACCCTGAAACCCCAAGACGTCCATTGACTTCTGCGGTGGGCACGTCGCGCTTCCCACATCACAACTAACCATAACAACCAAGAAACCCATGGCACTTTGGAGGCAAGCAGGGTGCTTCTTGGCATGGGCCCCTTTTGTAATTTGCGCGCGTGGCAACGGAAATGACGACCTACCAAACCACCCCAACCTAACCCGAATAACCAATTTTCGGGTTCCGCACATGTTTTTCTCGAACGCATCTACAACTACACACAACAAAAATGCACCTTGTTGCGGGGACCAGGGGTGGCAATCATAATTCGATTTGGCGCGTCAGTCAGTCTGGGTGGACGGACGCCGCCTCACGACCTACGATGGAAGGCGATGGTCGTGCCGACGACGTTGCGTGCCAAACGTGGAAGCGATCGCCATGTTTCACGGCGTGGCGTGGCGGCAGCCGCAAGACAAATCATAACACGAACAAGCGTTTCACCCTCGGACGGGGACGAAAAAGAACTCGAAATCGCGGGGGGCTGGATCGCGAATTTGCTGCTGGGGCACAGGCGGGGGAGGGAAGCGGGCCGCGCGAGGTCGAGGCCCCCACGCATACGGCTGGGTTCGCTGAGCCAGGGGATGTGGGATGTCGGTGGGAAGCGGCCCGGGGGACAGAGCCTCGGCGATGGGCAGCGCGGGCAGCCGATGCTTCGCGAAACGGGGACACGTACAGAGCGGCACTTAGCGGCCGGGGCGCGGTACACGTTGGGAACGCGAGTGGCGGCACCCGGCATGCACCCCGCCCCGCTGGCTAGGTGTAGTTCTATAAATGCTCCGTTTTGTGAGGATGCCTCGGGCGAAACCAGCACGTACAGAACTGCTCCTAGTGCCTCCTGGCTAAGCGTAAATCTGAACGTGCTGGATGTCTCGCGCGGGGCGAACGCGCACAGAACGCGTACGCGAAAGGGACGGGGTACAGGTCGGGTGCGTCGTCGCGCCCCGCCCGCAGAGTCAGGAAGGCAAGGGCCGCTGAACCCCCTGCCGGCCTCCGGGCGGAGGTGTCTGAACGTCCCAGGGCTTCCCGAGGGAATTCCACCCGCGGCCTCCGCCCACATAGCCCCCCCTATCAGAGCATCTCGCCTGGCCACTATGTTCCCCGTTCCCGCCCGCTGCTTTGCCCTCCACCTCCCCCGTTTTTCCTCGACCTGCCGCCCTCCATTTCCCTGAGCGTTTCCCAATTGCCCCTGGCCCCTGCGCGGCGGCAAACGCCCGCGCCCCCCCCGCAGCTGAAAGACTCACCTTGCGCTCGTCCTCCAATCCGCTCGCGGGGCGCAAATCTTGATTCCACACTGACACTGGCAATCGAAGTCGAGGCCCCGGGAAATCCGACAGGCGCGATCGGCCCCTCGTATGGCGGGCGAACCAATACGTAAGACGATGTCGCAAAAGTAAATTTGGAATGTGGGGATCCGCGCAAGAAGGTAATCCACTCGCCCAAGGTGTAGTTCTGCGCCTGTCCGATTTTCCGCACGTTGTTTTGTTTCCGATGTTCCCCGACCCTCCCCCCACTTGAAATCGAGAGCTAATTTGGGCCTGCGGGTTGGGTAGGGGTGGTTTGGTGGGTGGTGAAGAGGCCCATGGCTGCGCGGTAAGTTCTGCGCGCGGTTGCCGAGACTGAAAATGCTTCCTGGTCGCTGCAGCTTGCTATTCTGCGGTGAGGCAGCCCCCGCCCCCGCCATCATTGCACTCTTCTGCTGTTTCGTCTGCAGTGTCATATACGACGACATCATCACCATCATCATCACCCTGATTATCATCACTGCCCTCATGACCACGTGGCCGTCACCACCACTCGCACCATCAACACCACCAGAATCACCATCACCATCATCATTGAATCCAACATTCTCATCATCATCGCCGTCATGACCACAATCGCTGTGAACCTGATCATGCCTATCACCGCCATCATCAGCATCATCACGATTATCACAGTCATCATCACAACATCGTCCTCATGCTCGTCCTCGCCCTCATTATCATCATAACTCATAATCACAATCACCACCATCATCACCATCACCATGATCATGATCATGATCAACATCAACATCAGCATCATCATCATGCCCGCGGGAGGCCCGTGGGGACTCGGCGTCGGCGTCGGCGACGGGGGGTCGAAACCTAGAAGAGCCGCCTCACAGCATCGAAGGTCGGGCTCCAGAGCTCTCGGCGAGACGCAACCGACAGGAGGGGGCACCGCGTTCTCGCACCTTGGAAGAAAAGCCAAGGCGATCGACAACCACCGAGAAGAAACAACTCCGTGGCGATCGAACACCAACGACCACGACCGCTGGAGGTCTGGAACGGAAATGATGCACGTACATCTGGACTCACCGCCGGGGGGGCATGTACTGCGGGCTCGGCCGGTGAACGACTGGGGCAAATCAAGGGCACGTCCACCTCTTCCTCCTCCTGCTCCTCCGCCCCCTCATCCTAAGGATTGCGAGGCAAGCTCTCTCCAGCCTTGCCGCGCATGCTAAATGAATGAATGCTATAATACAGTGCCAACCAAAACATGCAGCGAGTGCATGTGGGGTTCGGGAGTGGGAGCGTAGGAGCATTGATACTATGACGAAGTGACCTTATGCTCGATGAGACAAAGGAATGGGAGCGAATAATCCTACAATAGACGTACAGACTTTGAGCGCGCGCACAAAGTACAAGCTATATGAGCGGCTTAAACAAAAGGGAAACAGCGTGGACTGTAACTTTGAAAAAAGCGAGTAAGCATCGTCTGGCGGGCAAAACGCGACGTACACTTGGCGCCACCCGCACCACTGCGATTGTGAGACTAGCGTGACATCATGAATTGCACTTATCTGCTGTAGGCCAGACAATCTAAGCCGCCCAGTGGCCGTGTATTTTTCACACACGGCCCCTGTATACCGCCACTCGCAAGCGGCCCCACTGAGAACTGGCCCGTTGAAAGCAGGCACGTTCAGACAACAGTGCAATGGGGAACAGAGGATTAGGCCGACATGGAGGAAGTATCGACGGCCGCGCCGTCCAGCTCAAATCTGGAGCGCGACGACAAGCAGAAAGAGATACGGCAGGTTCGGATAGTCAAGACGTTGGCATTGATGTCTGGAACAGCGTGAATCGTCCAACCTTGAACGATCGCGCATTTCCAGAAGCGCGGGCCACTCGATGTAGGATGATTCCAGGCCAATGGATGCGTTCGAACTTGAGCGCCCGTGCTGGGGTCGCTGCCGCGTCAAAACGACACAAACCTGCCGTAAGTATGCGACACAGCGCGGCCTACTTCAGCAAGGCGCGGCATACGCATGCTCGCACGCTCGCACTACATGATTGCCAGCGCCATGTCGCTATCATTACTTGCACGAGCCCCCCAAGTGCCCAAACCACTGCGACCGAACTCGCTGACGGGAACGAGGGAGGGGGGAGGGGGAGGATGGGAGGAGGAACGAGGGGGGCGTGCGTGGTGGGAAAGCAAGCCCCTGAGATCCAGTATTAGGGGAACAAAAAGTGACATAAACATAACAACTCGGAGGTCCGCGCGGACTTCTCGGATCGGCGCTGGGGCCGCCCGGCGGCGCCTCCGGCGCCGCCCCTGGCGCGCTCCGCGCGCCAGGGAGGGGGGTCCAGCGCCGATCCGAGAAATCCGCGCGGACCTCCGAGTTTTCATGCTTATGTCACTTTGTGTTCCCCTAAGTATACTGCAGCTTCGCTGCAGATCCAGTGGAAACCCCGACCCCCTCCCCAGGGCATGCTGCTCTCATCCCGAGCCGTCTCTTGACGTTCCCGGGGCCGGGCGATGGCCCCCCCCAGAGGCAGAGAAGACGGCGCACCATCTCCGCACTGCCCGTGCCGTTGCGCTTTGCTACGTCAGAGGCCTGGGCTCCTCTCCCCTACCTGATCCCCCTCCGCCTCGTTCGCCGCAGCCCCTACAAGGGGAACGAAAAGTGACATAAACATAAAAACTCGGAGGTCCGCGCGGCTCGGCGCTGGGGCTCCCTCCCTGAAACGCGGAGCGCGCCAGGGGCGGCGCCGGAGGCGCCGCCATGGGGGGTCCAGCGCGGATCCGAGAAATCCGCGCGGACCTTCGAGTTTTTATGTTGTTTATTTCATTGTTCGTTCCCCTACCTACCTGGTCCCCCTCCGCCTCGTTAGCCGCAGCCTCTACGGCCCTCCTCCACCCTCCTCCGAGACCGTCCGAACAAAAATGCAGAACCCGCGTGACAACGGCGACGGCGAGGGGATGACGATGCGAGGAGGACGACTCTCTCTCTTCCCGTGTGCTCGTGTACGAGCGGGCAGACGGCCTGCGCAGGGCACCTGCGGAGAGGAGGCGGGGAACGACGGGGGAGGGCGGCGAACGGTGGCAGAGTCGGAAGGGAAGGAGGCAGACGTTTCGGTGGCAACTCATGGGAGCCTCCCATACCATCTTGCCGGCTCCTGCGAATCGACGCTGGTCGACGCTAAATCGATGTGAATTGGCGCTAGACGACGCTAAATCGGCGCTATCTCATCGACTCCCAGACGCTCGTCGACGCTAATCGACGCAGGGTACATAAGGCTTTCATTATTTGCGACCGAAAGACGTGGACGGGGGAGAGGAAGACC